GTCGTAAGCGACGGCTTTTCACAGGCGGGCGGCGAGCCGCTGCATGCGCTGCGCGGCGGGCCGGCCGCGGCGGCGCGTTCGGCTGCGGCACAGCAGCCGTGTTGGAGATGTGGTAAACCACATCGTGCAGATAAGTGTCGTTTTAAGCATTACACTTGTGGCCAATGTAATTTAAAAGGGCATTTAAAAATAATGTGTAAGGCGTCTAATAGTAGAACGGCGGGAACGCGACACAATTTTGTGGAGGAGGATTCCGACTGTGAAATATACAATATTCGTGCGGTTTCTAGCGGAGATAAGCCTTATTTTGTAGACGTTAAGATAGGTGATGTAATGTTAAAATGTGAGCTCGACACTGGAAGTAAAATTTCGGCAATTAATGAAAATTGTTACAAGCATTTGTTTTCTAACTATAAGATTCTGAAGGATTCGATTAAATTATGTTCGTATTCTGGGTCGCGTATAGAACCGATTGGATATATTGTAGTAAACGCTTCGATTGATAATAATTTTCAAGATAATTTACAATTGTATGTAATCAAGAATGGCAGTCGTCCTTTGTTAGGTAGAAATTGGATTCAAAGATTTAATATAAACGAATTGTATGTTAATAACATGTCATTTGATGTTAAGGAGCAGCGCAATCGTTTCATCGAAGATTTAAAAAATAATTATCCTAACGTCTTTACGGATAAGTTAGGTGAATGTAAAAAACAATTTCGTTTGCAATTGACTGATAACAAACCGGTTTACTTACGCGCACGGCCGGTACCGCTCGCATTGCGCGCCGCGGTGGAGAGAGAAATAAACCGTTTAGAAAAAGAGGGATCGATTTATCAAGTTGAACATTCCGATTATGGTACACCTATAGTACCTATTATTAAACCATCCGGGGAGATCCGCATATGCGGCGATTACAAATCTACAATAAATCCTAAATTAAAAATTGATCAATATCCGCTTCCTCGGATAGAGGAATTGTTTGCAGCCCTCAGTGGCGGACAGGAGTTTTCAAAAATAGATCTGACAACCGCGTATATGCAAGTGCCTCTCCACCCCGACTCGCAGGCTTGCACGGCCATCACCACACATGTTGGTACTTATGTATTTAAGCGTACTCCCTATGGCTTAAATTGTATTCCACAAATGTTTCAAAAAATTATGGAGGAGACCCTTAGGGGCTTACCGAATACTGTAGTATTCCTAGATGATATTTGTGTTACTGGGAAAGATAGGGAGACGCATAAGAAAAATCTGAGAGCGGTAATAGAAAGATTGGCAAATATGGGCCTTACTGTTAAATTGAATAAATGTATTTTTTTGCAAAAGAGTGTGTCTTACTTAGGTTTTATTATTGATAAACACGGTTTACATCCGGACATGGCCAAGGTGGATGCCATCGTGAAGGCTCCGGAACCGACGAACGTGACTCAATTAAAGGCATTTTTAGGGTTAGTTAATTATTATGGCAAATTCGTTCCTAATTTAAGTACATTACTCCATCCGTTGTATGCTCTGTTAAAGAAAAATCAGTCATGGTGTTGGAATACAAATTGTGAAATCGCCTTCAGGAAAATAAAAAATATTTTAGCTAGCGACCAAGTGTTGTGTCACTACGAGGCGACGCTCCCGCTCGTGTTGTCCGTGGACAGCAGCGCGTACGGTGTAGGCGCGGTACTCGCGCACAGCTTTCCCGACGGCTCTGAGCGTCCCATTAGCTGCGCCTCCAGGACGCTCTCCGACGCCGAAAAGAACTATAGTCAATTAGATAAAGAGGCACTCGCTATTATGTACGGAGTGCAAAAACATCATCAATATTTATTTGGCAGGAAGTTCACGTTAAAAACGGATCATAAACCGTTGGTGTATATTTTTGGACCTAAAGGCTGTATTCCCCAGACTGCGGCGAGTCGGCTACAACGTTGGGCCGCGAAATTAGCCGCGTACGATTTTAATATTGATTTTGTAAAATCAAAGTGCAACGGCAACGCTGACGCGTTGTCGCGCTTGCCGCTAGAGGGAGACGGCAGCGACGGCGCACCGAGTGCGCCGGATAAACATTATTTAATGTACGTCGATGAAACTTTACCGGTTAATTTTAAAGAAATAGCATTAGCAACAACTAAAGATAATTTGTTAAGTAGGATTTTTGGATATATTATGTTCGGATGGCCGGAAAAATGTGCAGATGATGAAAAGGCTTTTTATGTTAGGCGCTCAGATTTATATATTGATCATGGTTGTATTTTGTATAAATATCGTCTGGTGATTCCGCAAATATTACAGAAACGCGTGTTGTTAGAAATTCACGACGGTCATTTAGGCATTGTAAAAATGAAGTCCATCGCTAGGAATTATGTCTATTGGCCGGCACTCGATAAAGACATCGAATTGATCGGGAACAAGTGCGAGGCGTGTCGCAGCGTACGCGACGCCCCCCCGCGCGCCACACTGCATCCCTGGGAGTTTCCCGCAGCGCCCTGGCAGCGACTGCACGCTGACTTTGCTCAGTTGCACGGCAAGTATTATATCATCGTAGTGGATGCTCATAGTAAGTGGCTCGAGGCGGAGGAGATACGTAG